TATATATATATTCCTGATTGTGTTTGCATATAGTAAGAATGTAGTAATGTTGTTTATATTGAGGTTGAAATGTGTTTTTCACACTTCTGTGTTTTTTACCTCAGGTTTAACATCAAGGTGAACATGCAGCTGGTCACTAGCTTCATGCTAACTGGCATTTCTGTGGGAGCCAAGTACGCTCAGAATGGGCAGCTTTTTGCACGCTTCAAACTCACTGAAACACTTTCTGAGGTAACCAAACTGATTGCTGTAGAAGCTGTTTAGGTGCATTTCTCCACGTGTATTTATCTTTAAAACCCCCAAGAGCCCAGTTTTCTAAACTGTGTTTTTTCTTTTTCCAGGACACGCTGGCTGGACGACTAGTAATGACCAAGGTGAATTCAGTTCTGCTGCTGCCTTTGGGCCGGGCGGGTGTCAGCAGCCAGCCTCCCTCTGGAGGTAAAGAGCGTGTTTATGAGGCTGTGATCGAGGAAAAAACCAAGGATTACATCTTCCTGAGGATCTGCAAGGATTGCTGTGAGGAGTTGTGTCTTCAGCCTGACAGAGAAATGCAGGTACAGGTTCCGTACAACCAGGGGGCAGTGCCCTTAGTAGATGCTATAAAATAATAAAGATGCAGGAAAGGCTGTAATAATTTCATAACCAAATCTTAAATTATAGGTTTACGTCATAACGTTTGGAAGTGCTAAGTCTTTTTTTTTTTTTTTTACTTTCCAATATCAGCGGGTGCAGCTTGATGTTTCTCTCTTCTGGGAAATGAGACACTATGTTATAAAGCAACTCTCATTCACTGTGGGAGTGTATTTTTTTCTCCTCATTGGGCTCTTAATGCCTGCTCACATGCTACTTTCTATCTCCTTAGATCTTTATTTCAAGAAGCCCTGAAAGTTTTTATTCTCAAACCTTCATACACATTTAATTTGTTTCCACTTGTATATTTGTCTTTCTTTCTGGCTTTTTATGCTCAAAATTTTTTTCTTGTTCCATTTTTTAAGCTGTTTTCCTTTTTCTTTTTTTCTGCAGCTGGACAGGACCACATACTGAACAAAAAAAAACCCTTTTTAGTAGCTCATCAGTATAAAATGAGAGATTAAATAGAAATGTGGATGGACTGGTTAAATCATTTTTACAGACATGATTCAAGAACACCAAATATACCAATATATCCAGAAATGTTGAGCTTCATTCATTCGTTCGTTCGTTCGTTCGTTCATTCATTCATTCATTCAAAAAAGAAAAAACTAACAATTTCTAATTTTTAAGTACTAGCTCAAAATGTTAAGACAATTTTCATTCAATGTTACTGGTAAGATTCTAATTTTACTGTGTTAAAAGGTCATCTAATTATATAATCATTGTATGTACAGCATGCATTTTTAAATAAATTTGGATGCTGTAGAATTGATATAAAATATAATTGATTGGAAACCAAAGGTTATCAGTTGTGATTTGAAAACAATCCAATTACTATTATGTGTTGTGCTTATCTGTTCTCTCTTGAATTTTATTGTTTTGTGTCATAAAATCTCTGACTGGAAGTTAAAAAGCTCTTCGTGTGCCTTGAACAGGTGGAGCTACAGTTTCAGCTCAACCGACTGCCACTGTGTGAGATGCACTATGCTCTGGATCGCATCAAAGATAACTGCATCCTTTTTCCTGATGCTAGTCAGATCCCCACCATCCCCTGGAGCCCGAACAGGTAGATATTCTGCCACTGTTTCTCACACACACGTGCACATAAACTCATATACCACTTTTTTTAACCATTCTGGCAACAGTTGACCTTCCAATGTCTTCAAGTAACCATAAGAATAACGCCCCATACTTGTAAAAAGCTCACCTCAATTAGTCTACAAAACAATAGATTTGTGTCAGGAAGCAGCCACTTGCATTCATGGTGCCATAATAAATGTTTGTCCAAAAGCTTGACATTTGTCACTGAGAATGCTTTAAAAAAGATGCTAAATCAATCTGAAAAGACAGACTTTGATTATGCTGCTATGAAAAAGTAGGTTGCTTTGAAAACAGCCCCTGGTTAGGTTTGTGTTACAAATAATTTACAGAAAACATGGTCTGAATTAAGTGCATCGACTACAAGGTCCACAGTCTGCAGTCTTACTGTTGCTTGTTAGTACAACGATGTAATGTTGAAAGAAAAAACATTTTTTAGCTGTAAGCAGAAGTATTTACCGATGTGAATAATCTGAGACTCTGGTACTGAAGGTCAGACCATAGAGGTTTATGCTAAAAAAACATTCATACTTCAAACAGAAAACTTAATAACAAACCAGTAAGGACAAAATCACATTATTTAATTCAAGTTGTTTAAATTAAAAATTTGTTTAGCAAAACGTTGATAAAAACATACTTTTGGCAGTGCTTATAATATAAAAAGGTATTTCATCCACAATAAATCAATGTGTTTTTCCTCATTTTCTTCTTAAAAGGATCCCTGATCAGTTGTAACATTAGACTTTATTTGATAAACATATATTTTAACTGTAAAGTAAAGACTGTAAAAATACTGTAGGATGTTTAGTTTTGTAAATTTTGTATATATATTTTAACACAGACGGAGCCATATTATTTACATGCAAAGCATTCTGGGTAAATGATAATGTGGATAGGTCCTCGGTGTGAGCGAGCTATATCCACCCTGAAGGTTAATCTTGGACAATATCTGACGATCGACTCTTTTAAATGAAACCAGAGAGCGTTGACAGAGAGGAGAAGGTAGAAATGACTCAGCCTGTAACTGAAAATATGGATGGAGGACAACAGAGCTGCTTCATGGAAGAAGAACCTCAGCTTAGCATGTTAACATTTGCGCTAGCGCTGACACTATATTGCCATCAATGTATTAGCTCAGTACTAGCGCGACAAACAAGCTAAACTGAGGTCCTCCATCTATATTTTCAGTTGCAGGCTGAGTCATTTCTACCTTCT